TAACAATAAATTTCAGGTCACCCATCCATGCACTGATCTTCCTCAAACTTGCTTAACTCAGTGGCTTGAAAGCCCAAGTTTTTTCCATTGCGCCACGATTTCAGGAAATTAGCACAACAATAGCCATGAAAACAATGCACCAGATAGACCAGATTATTTTCCACTTCAAATCAACGTGCCAGTGCGTKGCAGAGTGCAAGGGATTAGCTGTAGATATGGTCTGGTGGCCGGCTAGTCTCTCCCCTGATGCTTCGGCTATAACACAACCCTGCGTAATCAGTACACCCAAGGGCAGAGGGACTTAATCGGCGTCATTTCCGAAGTCCATACGACGACCCAGCAGACGTCTAGGGGTAAGGCACTAGTTTTTTCTTCTTCTGTATTTTGGAATAGATTATCTAATTAAAGTTTGTGTATTTGGGTTCGATTCCCACCGTATTCTCTGAGTACATTTTTATTMTTCTTCTTTTCAGAAAAATAATAACTTTATAATAACAACTTACTTAATGTAAATATTTTTTCAGTTAGTTTCTTGATAATGATGACAGGATGTCATCAAAACGTCGAAATCTATCTGCGTTTTTCTGATTAATTTAAGAAAAAGTAATAAAATAAATAAATAGATAAACAGAAACATGAATGGACGAATATGGTTTAAAAGATGAATTGAAGTTTCAAAGGTCCTTTCAATGKTATGTGAACTTTATGAGACCACGAACCACGAAGGAGCGACTTTTTCACATCCATTAAACAGACCTTTTTCATAATCAAAAGGTTCTATCTTTTCGTTCGTCATGGCAAAACAAAATCCATTTAAATGATGTCAACTTTTCAGTAATAGAGTAGTAAGGTGGAAAATTAACAAAAAATCGCGAAAAAAATGATGAAGTGCATTTTGATTGAATGTTTCACTAGTCTTCATTATCGGGGTCATTATCTTTATCTGGAATAAGATAAAATAGTTAAATTATCCMGATCTTATTTTTGCCTTGAAGTCATATTTTAATTTATAAACCGGTGGAAACTCTGCTTTTAGGCAGTGTCTAAATTCATATAATGAAAAGATAAATATATAATTTGATAATCATTAAGGGCACGAGGAAAAAGACGATGAGTAATGCTTAACATCTCAGTATAAAGCCTGGATAGATCCATTCTTTGTTTCTACAGCAAAAAGTAAAATAGGTTGTCCTAGTTGCGTTTTCTCACTGATAATATATTGAGTCTGAAGTATATCATAAAAACCTAGCCTAGATATTTCARCATAATAAGAAAATCTGACGGCTCCTTTATTTTACTTTATTTAAACACAGTTAGTTCATCAGGATTCATCAATTTTGCATAATTTGTCAGACACATGACCTAATATTATCATTAACATTGACCTCGAAATTTCCAAGAAACGTGCCTGTCAGTTTGCTCGCGTACAGCTTGGCTCTTTAAATAATCGACAAAGATCTATCGTAAAGAGCTGCAATCCCGTAGAAGCCAGTAGACCTAGTAGAGTTGGTTCTAAAGGAATGTTTTAATTAAGGGAATTCGTCAAAGCCTGTTTTGTGGTCAAGTTGAAGCTCAATATAGATAGGCAATTCCGATCCTGGTACTAAAAGTATTGGTGAGTTCTGTGAATATAAAACCATCCAAAAAAACAAGGTAAGCAAACCAGATAAGATTTTAATCGTTTTAAGCAATCAAAACTGTTTCTTTTTTTCCCTTTTTGTTGCATCAATATGTCACAAAAATCACAATTTACAAAACCGGAAATGAGGGAAAGCTTTTCCTAACATCGCTACTGTTCGATTTGTGCTATCACAAACATAACGTTAAAGGCAATCCAATTTGTCTGATCAATACTGGTAGAGTTCTTGCATAAAAACTCAGTTCTCGATGCACTTGAAATCATGGGTTAAATAAAATGAATAGTTGGCTTCATTACTACCATGATTTGATTACAACGGACGAGCTCGTGACTTGCTTGCCATAGCGTGTACTCGTGTTATTAAAAGCAAAAGCAATTTTATTATTACGATAAGTTTTTTTATTATTAACTAATATGATACATTGTGTTTTAAACTATGAATATCGCTTTGTTTTTCAGTCAGAGTTCTTCTAATTTTGCACGCAGAGATTTGTTGTTTGTGATGATCATTCTTTAAGATTTTGATTAGGGGATTCCCCAGTCACAAGCTATGATACAATGCTCAAAAATATTGAGTCTAAAAAATAAATAAATAAAACAGAAGCAGAAACAACAATCTTTTCTTCGATAAACATTTATTTGATTGTTTTTCTTTATTTCTTCATTTCAATTTTTTTCTGCAAAAACAGAGTCATCATTTGCTTGGAAACTCAATATGTCAAGACCAGTAACATTTCATGTTACCATCAAGTTGTTTCTTCTCCTAGTCAGTAGCGTGACACTATCAAATGGCAAAACAGGCCTCAGTTTAAACAATTGTTCCTGTTTTATGTCTGGACAATACTACAATCTCAAGTCACTAGCACGTCTGCACGGTGGGCCAAGGTAATATATCAAACGTGAAGTCGTATATCGAAGTGGATAAGCGGAATAGCGATCTAGTAAATGTGTATGAGAATATATATGAAATTATAAATTGGTGGGGAGGGCCATGTTTTTTAGAATGTGTGTTTGGGGAGGGTTTTTTTTATAAATAATGGGTGTAGGGAGGGCGACAATTTTTGACTTAAGAAAATGAAATGTTAATAGTATATTTTTTCCATCAGGATTTCTGGTATATATATTTTTGGGGAGGGTCATAATTTTCTATATCCTATTTAAGGGATATACTTTTTTTTTCTTTACCTTTCAAGGAAGGGCCTCTATTTTCTTGACAGGGTTCAATGCAAATTTGGTGGCCCACCACCCCGATAGATAATGATATCTCCCTTAGTGCCAAATTTGTAGGTCTCCGGTCTCCTCAGGTCTTTACTGAACTTACTAATTTGTGCAAATCTGTGCAATTTCTTACACAAACTTTTCACGGATACATCATTGGTATGCACTCTACCAGCAAATATCTATGAAATGCAGACTAAATTTCCAAGAACTGTCCATTGTCTGTCTTGTTTTATATATGTGTACCATGATTTCATATGTTTCTTTTTACTAGTACAGTGATACATAGAGTGGTTTTTCTTATATCATCTTTTTTGCATAAGATTTCAGAGTGAAAAGAATAACTGGAATTATGCTTATAATCCATGCATACCATTCTCCATTGAACCTCCCTGTGAAGACGTGGCGGTAAAGTTAAAACTACATTCGCTTTTCCGAACTTCAGGAAGTCTGGTAACGATCTTGTAATGTATGGGACCGTGGAGCTGAATTTTGAGACCCAAAATGGGGGAGTATATGAGTACTAATTCCATAATCCCAT